AAGCAGCGGGTCTGTGGGGCAGCTGAGTGAAGTGGAGCCTGAGGAGGAAGCACCGGTTAGCCCCGGTTTCACTACAGGCAGATTCACTCGCTACAGGGGCGAGGAAATAAAACCTGAACAGCCAATCAGAGTGATCTCTCTCACCAACAAGCTCCACCGCCGATTCAACATGCTCAATCGGCTGAAAAGCCGCCGACACCGAAGTGTTGACGGAGCGGGACACACCGCAAAAACTAGACAGACGCTCACCGACGACCCGACTTTGACCGACGGCCGACCATCAGCTTGGTGTGTCAGGACCTTTGGCTTCACGGAGTATGTTGCCATAGTAACTGACTCAGGGTTACACTGATCCTGCTCTCTGAGACAGGGTCCTGGATCAAAGTCTCAGAGCTGCAGGACGAGCCGCCGTCAGGTCAGAAATAATCAGATAATCAATCATCAAATCAATATTTTCATATCCTGTTAGATCCCCATCAGAGACAGCTGCTGTGATTTACATACCGCCGTATCAACCGCTGCCCCTACGCCATCTCGTTTTGAATCTGAAGCTTGAAACAACAACAACAACAGTATAAAGAGTCTGAATGAAGCTTTCAGCTCGTCACAGCCTGAAATTAAAATTTTATAATAATAAAGAATTAAACTTTGACACATGTTTCAAAATCAAACAATTAAAAAATCAACCTGATGATGATGATGTCATCAGCTCCTGTCGTTAGTGCAGTTCATCAGCTGCTCAGTGAAAACACATCTACTGAGGTGAGACATACAGGCATGTTAACGTCACATGTTAGAGAGGTGAGACAGACGATCCGTGGGACGTCCTCACACAGAAACATGTCTCATGTCAGAGACCTGATGAGGACGGAGTGTGTAGATACTAACGGTTGACTCTGTGCACGTTGAGGATGGCGTGCGCTCTCTTTCTGGCCTCCTGGATGTAAAAGTTCATGAACTCTCGTCCAAACATCTCTCTGTCATCCTCTTCGTCCTCTTCGTCCTCAGCGCCAGTCTCTGTCCTCCTGCTGGGCAGCGCCACGTCCAGAGTCAGAGGGTTGTCCCTGAAGTTAACAAACCTGCTTCAAGACAAACACAAACTGTTCAGTCAGAGCGACGACCAGGGGACACCTGAGGACAGACAGACGGACTGACCTGAGGTTGGACATGTCCTCCATCAGTGGGGGGATGTCTCGGAGCCTGTTGCTGCTGAGGACCAGCGTGTCCAGACTCTTCATCCTGCTGATGTTGTCCGGGAGTCTCTCCAGCTGGTTCCTCTGCAGCCACAGCGTGTGCAGCGTCTCCATCCTGAGGACACACAGTACTCACTGTTCATTGGCTGAGGACACAAGGGGGCGGGGCCCACATGACTCCTTTACCCACCTGTGGATGTCCTCAGGTAAGTGCTCCAGCTGGTTTCCTCCCATGTCGAGCCACTCGAGCGCCGGCAGCGCCACCACGCAGTCCGGGACGCAGGTGAAGTCGTTCATGGACAGATCCAGGTGCTGCAGCTTCTTCAGGTTCCTCAGCTGTGGACAGGAGAGGACAGACCTCAGACCAGCAGGACACAGTCAAGACAGGACCAGAACTTAGACAGGAGGACGAGGAGGTCTGTACCTGATCTGGGAGCTGGTTCAGGTCCCGGTTCATTGCCAGCTCCAGTCTCTCCAGACTCTCACAGCAGCTCAGCTCCTCAGGGACAAACTGGACTCTGTTGTAGCTCAGCAGGAGCTCCCTGAGCCGGGTCAGCTTCCCTGAGACCAGGACCGGGACCAGGACAGGACCAGGACAGGACCAGGAGGACAGATGCACACATCAGGACATGATGACAGCAGAGGGATGATGAGAGTGTGGGGGGGGGGCAGGTACTGACCGATCTGTTTGGGGATCTCGGAGACGCCGTTCCGCGACAGGTCCAGTACTAGAAGGTTCTGGAAGCTGGAGATGAAGTGGGGGATCTTCTGGAGTCCGGTCCGGTGGATCTGCCACTCCTGGACCTGACTGAGCTGCAGCAGGCAGCCAGGCAGCGTCTGCAGCGACAGAGACAGACAGAGACCGCCATCAGAGGGTCACATGACCACTGACATCACCAGGTAAAGTCAGCAGCACCTGCCATCTGAAAACTGTGAGCAAAAGAACACTGAGATCACTTCCTGTCTGTAGGACATTACCTTCCACTCCTCCTGCTCGATGCGGAGGACGAGTCGTCCGTCTTCCGTCTGCAGCTTCTGTCGGAGTCGAGCCAGGACGGCCCGGTCCTCCCAGACACCAACACTCAGTCTGCACCAGGAACACAAGACACAACACACGCACCAACACATGTGACTCCGCCCCCAAACCACAAACTCTTGAGCCGTTTCTCAACATGTGTTCTTGTGGACTTGTGACACGTCATCAGTCACAGCCCAAGTACTGTTCCAATTCAAAGTTCACATCTGGCCAAGTTCAGTCCAAATGCCCAGATGTGTTCTCGCCACACCCATTTTACCGGGGATGCATCGGAGCAGACTTGTGTGGACTTCAGACAGCCAGGTATCCCAGCATGCATTTCGCAACAATCATCGAAAATGGCCAGTGGGGGAAAGTCGTAATTACTGATATGTGACTGTTGTTTTGTCACGGAACGTAGTGTTTTCATGCGTAGTTTAAACTCGTGATCGATGTTTTAACACAGAGCCCAGCTGAATGTGAGGTCCGCTAGATGACAGCGGTGTCAGCGCTCACAGATAATAAACATGTGTATGAGCGCTCAGGCTGCCCCACAGAGAGCAGCCTCTCTCTGGTCGTCCTTTTAAACTCGTCACTGATATCTCTGTAGTGGTTAAATATGAAATGTAATCCGTGTGGGGAATGTCTAATGAGCAACATTCAGTCTCACTATATAAGATAGATTATTATATTATTAAATGTTCTTTGTATTCTTTTGCTTATTTATGTGTTTTTACCATTCAATAATGATTTTAAGAATTTATTGTAATTTATTTATTGTATTTAAAGATTAATTGTATTTATTGTAGTATTTAT